GCTCCAATGCTAGTGCAGATTCCCAGGGTTTCATTTACAAGTTCTGTGTTGGCAAATTAAAATATTGTAGCATCCTTAGCAGTGACAATGATAATTCAGATAATCTTGAGGCTATTATTAACAGACTCTTCAAACAGTTCTGCTTGCCAAATCCTTCCTCTGCTGACAGGCTGGAGCATATCAAAATAAAAGAACACAACTATACCACACAACATTCTGAACATGATCCGCCATTCATTTTCCACGAAGTGAACTACATTGTTTGCTTTCTACCTAGAAACAAGGAAGCTGGACCACACCAGGTATCAACAGAGACTGTCCAGAAAATCTGGGAGATTTGCCATTACATGCTTCTAGATATTTTCAATACCTGCCTCAAGTTTGATATTTTTTCCTGCTCATGGAAGAAAGCAGTACTTGTTCTTATATAAAAGAAGCATTTACTATCCAGAACATGTGCAATATTTTGCTGTTGTCCATCTTGGAGAAGGTTCTCAACAAGCTTCTTTTCAATCGTATTTACTGGTTCTGGGAGTCCAGGGGACTTTTTCAGGCTGCACAGTATGGCTTCTGACATCAGAAAGGAACCATGGATGCATTGCTAGACCTCGTTTACTGCATCAGGGAGTTTCTCAGGAATAATTATGTCTTCAGCCTCAGTCTTGACCTTAGAAATGAATTCAACTCAGCATGGTGGCCATAGATTCTTCATAGGCTTGGCAAGAACAACCGTTCTGTGAATCTGTCATCTAGCTGCAAATTACTTTGAGGACAGGAAGGCAGTTCTCGCTTCAAGACACTGAGTTTTCACGTGAACTGCAATGTGGCTGTCCACAGGGTTCTGTGTGTGGTTCCGTTTTGGGACATTTTGTTTGACAGTTTCCTATGCACGAGTTCTGGGCATCAGTGTCATATTTTCACCTATGCAGAAAACGCTTTTTTAATTTTTCCTGTTACCTTAAGAGGGGACTCAGTGGAGAAGAGGGCGATTGCTGTTGCATCTGGAATGCACTCGCCAGTTCTTCGAATTTTCGGCGGAAGTTTTAGTGTATGTTTTTCGTGCTGGGTACCATTGGATCAGGCAGATCACCCCGAGTAATTTGGTAGGCAATTTATTTATCTGGGTTGATTAAGGGGGGAGTAATTCAAATTTTAACTTTTGGATTTTTGGTTGAGTCTAGTGGGCGGGAGGTTAAATTCTCAGGGGCATTACTAGGGGGTTTTACGTAGGGTGGTGTAATGTTCTAGTTCTGTAAATGTGGTGGGGTTAGGTTGATTATTAGCTGAGTTACAGCAAATTTAATTTCACCCTATCTCTTAATATGGGATTTTTAAATCTTTGAAATTTCCGTTAAAAACATATTTTCAACAGTTATTAACGGCCCTAACCATCATTGTAACAGTTTTAACGGTGGTTTAAACTTTTTTCCATTGCACCTGGTCTCATTATTTCAATTGTTTTAGTTTTTCCATTGTTACAACTGATTTTCCGGTTTTCATTGTCTTAACTTTTTAGTGACCGTTTGGGTTTATTCTGGCTAACTTGCTTTTGTGGTATTAGAGGGTTACTGGTAAGGTTAACGGGGTGTCCTGGCCACTTACAGTTGGCCACGGCCTATGTATTAGTGTAAGTTAGTTGATCAGTTTCGTGTATTTTGGGATAGGTTTGTAGTTCAGTCTACAGGTTTATTGGGGTTACTGTCTGGTTAGATGGATCCTGGAGGCGATAACAACACCAGAGATGATGGTTCGACAATGGAGGTGTCGCTGGAACCACTTGAGGACCAGGTTCTGAAGGAAGCTTCTGTTCTATTAGGATTATAGAAGGATTAGGAAGGATTATAGAAATCTGTCCAGTTTCTGGAAGAAATGCTCCAAACAGTAAAGTTAGAGGCGAAATCAGGGATGTGGTTTCAAAACTTCATGGGTGCGTACACCAACTCTATGGGATCCTGAGGGAACTTAAAAACCAAAGGATCGACTCTAGACCTACATTGGTCACACCAGCAATACAAAGCTATGCTGAGGCCGTAAAGGTCCCAAGCAATCCCAGTGTTACCACAAGAAATATTATTAAAACCATCAAGGAGAAAATCAACAAGGAAGGGACAGGAGAGGAAGTTGCATTACTGCTATACCCACAAGAGGCGAGAGAGGGTATTTCCACGGACATGAAAAAGATCACTCATATACTGAAAGAAAAAATAGAGCCAAACAAATTGGGTATAGGAGTCACTATCAGAGGGGTGAGCGGCAATGGGATATGCATCAAAGTTTCCTTGTGCAGAGACGAGGAGAAATTAACCCCATATTCCCGATCATTAATTAAATTAATATTAAAAACCATAAAAAATACTTAAAACTGAAAAAAAAAAACGAAAAAAATGCGTTAATTTTGAAGAAAACCCTTCAAAATTTATTTTCCTTTGTCTCGCCTTTCTGTGAAATTTAACACCAATGAGTTATTGTTTACACATCTGGATGACCTTGAACACAGCTGGAGTCGGATTTCCCNATGAAATAGATAAATTAACCACTTTTTGCCCAATCATTAATTTAATTGATACTTGATTAATATTAAAATACATCAAAAATACTTAAAACTGAAAAAACACGAAAAAAATGCGTTAATTTTAAAGAAATAGCTTTAAATTTTATTTTCCTTTGTTTTGCCTTTCTGTGAAATGTAACACCGATGAGTCATTGTTTACACAGCTGGGTGACCTTGAACACAGCTGGAGTCGGATTTCCCGAGACGTTCTCATGTAATCTGCAGGAGGACAAGGATTTAAAGCAGGGTGACATCGACAGACACTTAAATTTTAAAATATTTTTAAAAAATTAAAAATTTTATTGCGATTTCCGACCCCGCCTAAATAATTAATTTTAAATTTAAAAAAATATATTAATTAAAAAAATTTAAAAACTATCGGAGGTCATTTTTGACATCAGAAACTAGCTTTAAATAACTTTACCGAAGGAAAATCCGTGCACTACAACTTAGGTTATCAAATTTATTTCTTCATGAAATAAATTTGATAAAAAACTCCCATTAAAAAACAATTAAGCTTTAATCGAGCCTTATTAAAGGCTAATTAAAATCATGATAAAATTTTTTCGAGGCATATACAAATGGCTCTAAAACTGCAGACAGCACAGGGAGTGCTTTTGTGGTTTACTGTAATGGTGAGGAGATATACAATGACACTTTCATGCTTCACCCAGAATGCTTGGTGTTCCAAGCCAAAATCTTCGCAGTACTGATGGCCATAAGTTAGTGCAACAACTTTCATGATAGATCTATCAACATTTTGAATGATAATGCTGCTACTGTTGCCACATTGGAAGATAAAAGCTATATCTTTCCATATAAGATATGGGAAGATACTCATCTCCAAGAACATCTTTTCCACCATTATGATGGCTTTCAACCACTTTGCCATCAACTGGATCAGGAGACACTGTGGCATATTCTGGGCAACAAAAGAACCACCTCTCTGGCTTGTCATGCAAAAGTGACAAGAAAAAATTAATTTTAATTGTTATCAACAATTAAAAATAATTTTGTCAGTGTTAAATTTAGAAAAGGCATTATTAAATCAGTAAAAGAACTCCACGTGACCACTCACAGGGACGAAAGTGAGAGTGGATGCAAGGGACAAAAGTTTGAGGGGGGTCAATAAAACTGCAAATAATAAAAAATTATTTTAAAATGTTAAAAATTTTACACATTTTTGTTCTTAAATGTAAGAAGACATCTTTTAAAATTTACATAAGAAGCTACAGCATACGTATTATATATAATTTTGAAGGGGGTCAAAGGAAAAAATTTTTCTTAAAAGGGGTCGACACACGAAAAAGGTAGGAAATTCCCGGCAGAAAATATAAGTAAACGTTAACAAACCGATAAAATTGCAGCTCCAAACGAGGCAACAAGAACCTCACCGGAGCCATAGACCATATCCAAGAGAGTAAAAAAAGTTAAAGGAACCGACGGTCCGCCACCCTTCGCAAAATACGGCAACCAAAATCAACACGTCCGGAATTTCGAAAACCCTCGAACGGGGACAAAATTATAAAGAGAAAAATCAGAACTATTTCTCAAAATAATGCTAAAAATCGACCATCTTCCACTTTACCAGACACGATCAAAAGCTCACAAAACAAGAAACGCCAATGCACCGACCGCTTCTAGCGCAAGATCGGAGCAAGAGTTGTGCTCCTTTGAGTCCGCCGCGCATTTCAAAGGCCAATTTCGGGGACCGGATCTCAAAGGGAGGCAGGCAGACCGCCGGTTCTTCCGCCTTCTTTTTACTCCCCAAAAGGCAATCGGAGGATCCCGTCCGGCATTCTATTTTAGTACAGAAATCGATTTTTAAAATTTACGAATTTTTCTTTGCTAAAACAGAATCCCAATAACAATACCAAATTGATAATTCTTTTTCCAATCCTTTAATTTCGGTAAATATTGTAAATAAACGACAAAAAACAAATCCAGAAAATAACCTAATTCAAAACCACTTTATTTCGGCATCGTTGTGTCAAAAACACAGCAACTGTAGACACGTCCGTCGGACATCAAAACAGAACTTACTTATTTAAAAGAAATAACGCGTGAAAACGTACTCTTAACATTCCAACTTTGATTTACATTCAAAAAAAATGAAGAGTACGGATCATACAAATATAGAAGACAAATATCAAACTTTGACAGAGATTTTCTGGTACAATTAAAAACACGATCATTAATCTTTGACGATTGAAACTAAAAAGAAAAATGCAGAGATTAAAATTGAGATATTTTCTTGTCGTAGTCAAGAAGGATTAATACACCGTGATTTAAATTCGACCGCACACAATTAATTAATACTACGTATTTGATTAAAAGCCTGTTTAAATTCTGTGTAATAAACTTTAAAATACATTTTTATTCTAAATTATTCGTGTATTAAATTGTAAGATTTTCAATTAAGCCTTGATAAATTTAATTATTTCCTTACCTTTATACACGGACATATCAACTATCGTTTTATCTTAAATATATTTTCATATAACTTCAACAGTTTAAATTTCTAAAATTCTAATTACTTTATAATTTCTATAATGAAACAGCAAAAGTAAATGCCACCACTTCTGTTAATGCACCGCAGCGCACTCTGCCACCACAGATTTTAATTTCCTAAATTTTTAAAAATGATATTTAAATATCGATATAAAAATATCAGATGATCTAAACAAATGTGTTTTTTTTTTTATCTATTTAATGTGGATTTGTAAATTATTTCCTAATCGATGTACGTTATTAAATATATACTTCGTGTTTTTGACTGTGCTTTTTTTTTCACGGCCGGATGGCCGAGCGTTAAAGTGGCAGCCTACCGTTCTGGGGGACCCGGGATCGAATCCGGACGAACCGAACAATCCCCAGGAATTTTTCGGGGGTGGCCCATTCGGATAAATCGGCCTCTGTCCCTCACCACCCGGCCGCCCCATTGTGGACCTGACCGAACCCATAATGGGCTTGCATAAGGAGGCCCTCTTAGTGCCCACAGGATGGAAAAAGTTAAAAAATCTGGCAGTGGCGTGCCGTCATTGGAAGCAGTGGATGCGCCGCTTCCCTTGTATTTTCTGAAAAATAAATACATATTAATTTTAATTATATGAAAATAATAGCGCAATATTNGTGCCCACAGGATGGAAAAAGTTAAAAAATCTGGCAGTGGCGTGCCGTCATTGGAAGCAGTGGATGCGCCGCTTCCCTTGTATTTTCTGAAAAATAAATACATATTAATTTTAATTATATGAAAATAATAGCGCAATATTTTATTATAACCGCATTAAGTATCTTATTACAAATTTCTATACTACACGTAAAAAAAAGATAAAATTGTTATTGTATATTCGAATATTAGTGGCGGAGTGGAAGCGCCGTATCGTCGGCATCCAAAAAGCCGGATTCGCGCACGCGCTTTACGGAGCACCGACCTCACCCGGTTTAGCCGGCGGAAGCCAGGGACCTCGGGTGGACGCTACGCGTATACCGCATCCGATTCTATCCGGGGACCGGTTCCGGGCCGTTAGCCGCCCGCCCGCTAGATATTTGGCCGCCCTCGCCCGATTACGCCAATCGCGAGTAGATTTATAACTTAACCCAACCGATAAGAATTTACTGGTATGTTTTTATGCTAGTTCTGTCTAGTATTGCCACCTTTTCAAAATCACTGACCCGGACTGCAGGTCCTTGTTCGAACAGAAGTTCCTGACACATGCGCAATGTCATTTTGCAATGCGAAGAATAACGTGCAGTGCATGCAGATTCAAAATCAGTTACAGTTAGGGACTTTTTTTTTAACTCTTTCCGCCCTGTGGGCACTAAGAGCGCCTTTTTTTGCAAACCCATTATGGGTTCGGCCAGGCCCACAATGGGGCTGCCAGGTGGTGAGGGACGGGGCCCAACATATCCGAACGGACCACCCCCCGAATAATTCCTGGGGATTTTTCGACCCGTTCGGATTCGATCCCGGGTCCCCCAGAGCGGTAGGCTGCCATCTTGACCGCTCGGCCATCCGGCCGCTACAGTTAGGGACTAGGGAGACTTGGGTAGGAGTAACGTAAGTAACCTAAATTAAGAAAAATAACTACATATGATTTAGCTGGATATTGGATATTGGAGACGTGTATGAATACGAATCGTACAAGCAAAACAAAAAAAAAAAAGAAAAAAAAATGTCGACGGGTTGGGCACGATATTCCTGGACAAAATTAATAGTTCACCCGGACGGTGAGTCGATTTCCGGACTGTCCGGGTGGAAACCGGACTGGGGTAACACTAGTTCTGTATAGTTGACAGGAGTTTAAAAAATCCATAAAAATATTTGATATTTTCATTCCGCTCTCCCATCTTATATTACTTACGGATATCAATGTTAAACTAGTGATATTTCGATTTAGTACGTTTCATCTATAAGTGGATGCAGAAAGAAAACGTGTAGAATTCTTGTAAAATATTAAAAAATTAACCGTTACTTTGGCAGCATCATTTACAACTAAATTTAATGAATGAGAGATATGCACGAGGTACAGAAAAAGCTCTAGAATTTATTTTTCTTAAATTTACGATTTATGCATCCGTTTGTCATAAAAATTTGTCTTTCCACATTTATCCGGCGACTACAAATATTCGAGTACAAAGTAACCGGTTTCGACTTATTTCTACTTAACAAGTAGTTAAATAATTAAGCAATTAGGGGATTAGGGACAAAATAAAACCCTGCCGAAAGAGTTGGAGTATTACTTAAAAGCTTAACCGACCCAATCTCTAGCTGAGCACAGTGGAGACTGATTTCTTCGTATTACAGTAGAGCGTCGATTTTCCGAATCAATTGGGGACTGGGATTGTCCGGATAACTGATATTTCGGATAACTGATTTACGTACGAAAAAATAGTTTAACGTATCCATGTCGAAATTTTTATCCGTTGCGTGTCGTTTCGCGTTGAATTTTCGTCGATGTTAAGCCTAATGAAGGCTATTGTATCGTTAAAAATTTTTTTTTATTTTGTACAAACAAAATAAATATATTAAAAATATAAAAAGTTATACTTCAGATATTAATTTAGTATCAAAAACGTAAAATATTTGAGTAGCCCAAGACACAGCCAAGGATTGAAGCGCCACAGCACTGGCAAAAATTTAAATTTGCGACTGAAATTCTTTCGGATGATTGACGTTTCGGATGATTGACTTTCNTACTACAGATTTAATATAGAGATTGCATGCTTTTAACATAATTATTAACTAAATGTTATTAATTCTTCTCCCATTTTCGAAAATTCCAGAATTTATTCTAAATGTAATATCGCCGTCTTCCTCCGCGACCCTTTCACTTTTAAAAATCCGCATATAAAATAGTACGACATTTGATTGCTAATAACTCTGATTAACTCTTTTAGTGAATACTACAAATTTAATATAGAGTTTGTATACTTTTAACGTAACTATTAACTAAATTTTATTAAAATTTATTAGATGCCACTCCGACAGTTCCCTTGTAAGTCATTTTTCTGGTTCTGTTTTAAGATTTAAAAAGTAAAGAATATTTTATATTTTTATGTACGTTTCTTTACAAAGCTATATTTAATTATAATTTTCTTTAAAAGTATATTCGTACAATTGAAGAATATTTTGTACCTGGTACCTGTACCTGTACGTACAGTACAGGTACATGTACAGTATGTACAGTACCTGTACGTCCACCACACGTTTTATTTCACCGAGTAAGTTTTTATAATTTTATTTTTAATCGTAGCCCTTATATCGTGGCTAGCGATTCGGAATGTAATTAAATTAAAAATGTAATTAAATATTAAAAATGCATTTACAGAAGTCTACGGTTTTTACTGGCTTATCGAATAAACGATACGAATAGACCTTAGACTATCGCTGACGCGCGATTGACTGATTGCCCCTGGATGTCGGCTTCTTACAGAAACACAGCTTCCCTATCATCAAATGTCACGGCACGCCACTGAAATCTGGAGATGGAAATGTACAAGAATTTTGCCATAGATTGCGATGGGGAGTGGCTAAGGTCGGTGGAATGACGATGTCCTAAAGATTCTCAAAATTTTTTCTATTCAAAATAAATTTTACCAAAATCGTTACGAGAAAGTATTTTGATTAATGCTCACACGGCAAGTTCTCGCTTATTTAAATCGATAAAATTTATGTCACTTTAATTAATTAAACTATACGTCAATAAATTCCGCAAAACACGCAAAACACTTCAAAATTCCTGTCGACTATGATTATTTCGATAAAGTAATGTATTAGTGTATTAGTTGTTTACCATAAATACTAGTTTTCCTGCTATAGCTTGAAGACTGAAGATAAAGTTAAGTACTGGATCGTATTTGGAAACTAATAAAATAATCTCTAGAGAATATCTATGGTTTGTTCGTTGGTTTCTGAGCTCAACGTATAAGCGTTTCGAACCTATGAGCTCGAAAAGCCAATTTCTTTCACCAACTAACTTAATAACATTTATTACCTCTTTCCATAACTTCTTTTTTTCTCTAGCGTTTTTTGTCGCAATGTTGCCTCTCTGGTAAATAATGTATTATCAATAGATATCTCTGTTTTTTTTTAGTTTTAGTATATGGCTTTCAATGCATTTAATGCGAGATTTGCTTTCTTCGGGTTCTCGCGCTCTTTGTAGCGTGAGGCGCCAATCTGTCATTCCCATATTTTTTACGAACGGACCTTAATTTTTGTCACTATATGCTAAGCATATCGAACAATATAATCCGTTATTTTTTAAAGAGTAACTCAGGCATCTTTTATTTTTTCATCTTTACGTTTGAATATTAATTTAGGATTAAATGGTAAGGTGTCTACTAATGTTGATTGATACGAACGATTTAAAAATATATATATATATTTAACCTTCGTGTTATATATATATATATATACAGTATAGTCCGATTTACATTCAGCAGATGTTTCATCCCGATTTCATTGTTTACATGAAGAAGAAATTTCGGCATTTTGTTTAGATGTAGGGGGAAGAGAAAACAAATTGATTATTTTATAGGTTTTAGTAGCGATGCATTAATTCTGCTTTCTTTTCCTTCGTTTATTTTCGTTTCAGTTTTACTAAAAATCCAGGTGCAATACATGTCACGTGGTTGAGGTTGGAATGCATAGTTTTCAGTTGTTGGAAAGCCGGAAGCATATAGCTTGTTTGATCGCTCACCACAAGTCTGACTTTTTCGTATTGTATGTTCCTGGCCACAGCTTCATGCATACGAATCATTAAATGACTGCATTACTGTGCAGGCATTTGTCTTCTCGAGTTGGTACATCTTAAAAGATATCGGTTTCATTCTTTTACCAGATAATGGAAACATCATAATCATTCAATATATATTTTTGCAGTGCTTAAATGCTTACCGACCACCTCTTTTATCTTATCGAAGAACTTCTCATAGATTGCCTTTATGTAATTTTTATTAAGAGTGCTCTCATTCAGTACTGATTGTTGAATGTACGGCACTTCTCGAGAAGTGATTTGAATCGATTTGAAGTGTTGTCTCGAGAAGGATTGTTCACCTTGTGGACTAAAATTCCTGATTGGATTAATACCACGGTGAGATCTGCACTGAACTCACTCGATGAATGCTGCTTTTCAGATCCTGAAGTAAATGCACGTATCAAAGATAGCTTGTGTTATGTATGTAAACCTCCAGGGGATAACCCAAACCTCTGATCTTTGCCGTGTTCCTTTGTCTCCGGTCAGTCACGCGTTAGCTGTTGTAACACTTAGACCTGGAGGCACAAAGTTACGTTTGTATTATAATAAAGTTAATTATTTACGTTAACGAGTGATCGTTTATTTTACGGACACAACAGTTTGCTTAGATTTTGATTTGTGAAGTTCAACGTTTTTCGCGTGCTTGCTGTATGGGACGTGCTGGTTTAAATATCAAAGTATTGAGACCTTCAGTTTCAATGAATTGAATCTTGAATTCTTCTGAAAGTGCATACAACTTTCCCTTTTTAACCTTTGGCATGTTTTTATTTTCAATAATGAGTTATGGTTCAGACTGCTACATTAACCTAACCAACTATATCCATCACAGAATCCAAGGTCAAAGTGAAATGTTCTTTTTTTTTCTAAGCCTTCTTTGTATACTAAGTGCGAAACTCTTAGAGAACTGGAGAATAGAGCGTTACTGTTTTGTCAGTTTGCTTTTTTCTCTCGCGGAGTTTTACTACATTATCTTGAGAACTATTGGGGCTACAGCGATGGTAAATATGCCATCTTATAGCTATCGATCTTTCTACAAAATCAGGGTATGGGATTTTGTGTAGCTGGTCAAGAAGAGTGAAAATATTTTATTTATTTATTTTTCTGTCCAATCTTTTAAAAATACAAAGAAAAGTGGGGAAAAGTGTCGAAGCGTTAAAGAGGAGGGAAAAGGGGAAGAAATGTGCCAATCTCACGAAAAGGTGCAGAAAGATGCAACACAGTGTGTTCATTTCGCTGCATTTCATGGCCCAAAATACATATCCCGAACAACCGTACGAAAACAGGTATACTTTTGGAAAGGCGTTGCACCTCAAAGCGCTCGGCTGACGCCCGCAAAACGCGCGATCGCATGTACGGTAACATGGCAGCACATATATCTCAAAGCGCTTGGCTGACGCCCGCAAAACGCGCGATCGCATGTACGGTAACATGGCAGCACATATATCTCAAAGCGCCCGTAAAGCGCTCGCAAAACGCGCGTTGAAAAACGCCTAGTGTGTACAGGGCCTAAAATCTTTTCTCTTGTAACGAATATTAACTTTGTGAACCGAAGTGGAGCAAATTTATCGAGTCGAAAATCAATACGACCGTTACGCCCGAGTTTGACCCGAAGTGGGGTAAATCGGTACGGCAGCTCGGTATGGTGACGGAAATTCGGTCGAGTCGACGGTAGGAATTTAAATACTTGGCCTAGAATTTTTCCAGCGCTGTTGGGCGACGTCTCGGTGGGTTTCGCATTGCGAATCTCGAAGCGTCGGTTCGGATAAACATTAATGAATTAATATTAACGACAACAAAATATTTAATGGGAGAAAACATAACGTTTTCCGAAACGACTAAATTGTCACGTAAGCGAATTTAGTCGCATTATTTTAAAAGCACGCAAACACCGTATTTTACGCCAACACCATTTTTCTGGTCGTATGACGCGATGTCACGAGCGCGCCGGATCGTCCAATGGCGTGTTAGGGGGCTTCATTATATGACCGGTAGCCACTCCGGGGAAGTGACAAGATGGCGATGGTTCAATAGTGAATTTTAACTCTGTTTCTGTCGTTTTTTTTTAGTAGTTCTAGTAGTTGTAGAGTTTCTGTTCCGTTCTTCCTTGAAGTAATCGTGTTTTTAGTCTAGATAGAATGAGTGCCAAACCGGGAACACTTTGGATCGGAGACGTAAGTTAGATAAATTTGTTATCCATGTTAAAACTTGACAATTCGGATGTTGTATTTAATAAACATCGACGTAGCCGACATCGAGTCGATAAAGACAAAGATGTTTGCACGTATTCGTCGGCCGGTTCGATCCCGTCCATTCTCTGTCAGTTCCCAACTTTATTACGTAGACTTTCTGTGAGATTTGTCAACGATGTTTTGGCCCTGCCCAAAATAAATCTTTGATTAAATTACTCGATAATGCGAGATCGGCGCGGATCCCGTCTCCCGATTACTCGAAAAACCATTAAAACTTGTATTTTACGTGTATTTTAATAAAATATGTCTGAATTGCGTTGGACGTTTCGCCTGTTACTCGGCTGTTTTCATCGAATTAAAAGCTGGATTTTTGTGTGTCACTGTGTAAATTCTAATTATATAATGATTTCCAATTAAACTTTAATCTATCGCAATTTCGCCCGTCCTACTTAATGCAAAATCGTCCAAATCGTTATTTACGATTATCGTCAATTAAACGTATTAATGTGTATTATAATGCGGGGAGTGAAAGATTATGTTAAAACCGTCACTTCGTCGCGTTAATGTTGAAATTTTTTCGTTTCTTTGCCTTTTTTTTTTTTGACTCCTCGTGTGTGATAATTTAAATATTAAATCTGGTTAAAACTTAGATTTGTAGGCTTGCCGACAGTTCTGGAATTTGATTTTGATTTTACGATATTTTGTGCAAATATTTCGTTCTATTAAGTGTTACGTAAATAAAGATTAGTTTAAAAATTCCTTCTGGGGAGTTTTCCTTCGTTTCGTAATCTTGTGCTCGTTACCGGATAAACGTGCCTCCGTTTTCTTCTGCCCGCTTTTCCGCCCTTGTTTTTCGTCCGGTGCGTTCGAGAGAGAGCGGCCCGCTCGGTGACCGTTTTGGTTCCGGACCGGACGGATTACTCTGGATTTAATCTGCTGGTGGAGTAGATAAAAAAGGCACCGTTTTTGGCAATATTTACATTATTTGTAAAGTCTAATTCTTCCTTTTTGTTAATGTGATAAATACTAAAAAATCAAAAACAAATGAACCATACAGATACTTAACAAAATTAAAAATAGACACTTGTTTTTTAAATGTTTCTAAATAACTCTGGAATAAAATGCTAGTTTCTAATAATTTCTAATAACCGTGGAATTCGGAGTAGTTTTTCGTGAGTAGAATTTTCCGGATGTTAAAATGTTTTGTTTTGAATAAGACGTGATTAAGAGTTAAAGAGAAATGTGCAGCAGTGACGTTTCCTACAGTTTTGTTGATTAAGAAACATTCTACATTATGATATTGTTAACAGGTGTGAAAATATGAAAAAAATAGTGATATGTGAAAAATTGTAAAAAAAAAAGTGGAAACTGAAGCAGATATTTAAGTTAAATTGAATATTGAAATGTAGACTCTTTATGATGTAATGTTATGGTACTTACTATTCGTAATTCTACAGAATAGTCATAATTGAAATGTAGGTGTTTGGAAAGAGCTGCGTGGAAACTCTGCACGGAAAGAGCCGTTAGGAAAACCTCGAACAAATTTGCTATATGTACTGTCCCGAGGGTGTGAATTTTTTTTTTTTTTTTTTTTAGATTCTTGGGAAAGAAATTTCACTTCAAGATTCTGCTGCTAGGATAAAATTTTGTGCTGCTGTTCTCTTAATATGCATATGATATACATTTTATCTATACTAATATTATAAAGAGGTAATGTTTGTATGTATGTTAGTTTGTATGCAGCAGGTAATCTCCAAAACTGCTCATTCGATTTCAAAAATTCTTTCACCAATATTTAGAATGGAACTTCAGGGTGGACATAGGCTGTATATTATTCTGTTAAACATGGGAGATGAACAGTTCTTTACGGGGAAGGCTTACCGTGAAGAACTCTGCTTCTATTTATATTATTTTAGATGCGGTTTTTTGTGTTTTTGATTGCGTTTTAATAGAGTATGTCAACAGAATGTATACTAAGAAGAAATTTTTCGGTATTTCCCCCGCGGGGGAGAGAGACAGGATTAAGGCTTACTGTTAAAAACTCTGCTTCTATTTATACTATTTTAGATGCGGGTTTTTGCGTTTTTGATTGCGTTTTAATAGGGTACGTCAAGAGAATGTACACTAAGAAAAAATTTTTTGAAAAATTTTCCCCCACGGGGGAAGTGTTATACATTTATAATAGATACATTTTGAGCCACAACAAGGCGTAGCGGAGTCTGCTAGTAATAAGTATAAAAATAAAACCTGTTAAGTTATATTAATGATAATGCAGAAGCAGCAGTGAGATTGGAAAGCTAGAGGACTGGTTCAAACTAAAAAGAGGCACCAGATGGAGACCATATCTCCCCAGCTATCTTCGTAAGTCTGTTAAAAAGAGTAATGGACAAGATGACACAAGAGATGCGGGGAACATCAGTTCACGGTGTAAAATTTAATATCTTGAGATTTGCAGATGACACAGTTATCATTGAAGAAAGCGAAGAACAACTAGAGAGAACATTACATCTGCTAAATGAAGAATGAAAAAGATATGGATTGACTATCAATAGCACAAAAACTAAGACAATGATATTTGGTGATAACAACATAACAAGAAACATATCTAGTAAATGGGAAAGAAATTGAAAATGCAGAGGACTTTACATATTTAGGAAGCCAACTGACCTGTTCCAGATGACTGACTTTTTGCAATCCAGATTTTTACAATCTGGATTGTAAAAAAGAAATAGTGATTAGAATAGCCAAGGGGAAAACAAATTTGAAAGCAATGAACAAAATCTGGAAAAGTAAAACAATTAGTTTATATCACCAAAATTTATAGTAAATAATCACCAGCTGTGAGAAGATTTAGAGCAATTAGTTTACAGACAAAATTAAAAGTATTGAACACCTGCATCTTTTTCATGCTATATGTTTGTGAGACATGGGTAATAACAAAAGATATGGAAAGAAAGATATTAGCATTTGAAAGAAACTGCTACAGAAATATCTTAAAAATAAGATGGATGCAGAAAGTCACAAACAAAGACATTTATAATAGGATATATGTGAAAAAGAATCTCTTACAAAAAAATTATGCAACAAAAACTCCAACTATTTGGACACATCACAAGAATGAATGAAAACAGGAAAATTAAAACTTTAGTCTATGGCATTATGGATGGATTTAACAAAAGAGGCAGACCATATAGAGAATGGATAGGTGATGTGAACAAGTGGCATGGAGTGAATATACAGGAATTGAGAAAATGGGCAATGGATAAAGAGAAATGGAAGGAAGTGGTGAGAGACATCTGACACCAATGGGTGATGAGCCCAGGATTAATCATGATAGTCAAAATAAGTTGAAAAACTAGTCTGCATATTCATTAATTAACAAATTTTGTTACACTCAAAGGTAAAACATGTGGTATGGTTTCACAGCATCCTTTATCATTGGTTTTTGGTTTTTTTTTTTTTTTTTTTTTGAAAGTTAGAATAGTTTATAGTTAGTAATATTTTGCTAATGCTTCTAGATATGGAAATATGCTCCAAACTTTGTCATTTCAGCATTGCAACAGAGAAATTGTCCAAATGCCACAATCTTTATGCAAGATGGTACGTTCCCAGATATCAGCTTAACTTTGCAAGCTTAACTGCAACAGCATTTTTTACATGAGAATGATTAGCTGATTCAATACACAAATAAACATCTTTAAACACTTTTTCACTCCAGTTTTCTCTTTTAACAAATGTTTTTGGCTCATTTGATAAGTCTGTCTTGGATATGTCAAGAATTCCAAACCTCACCATTCCAAATTGGAATAGTAACAGATAATATAAGTTATTCATCATTTCATATCTTATATTGCTAACAGGTGTGATGACAATATGTTGTTGCAGCTGTTAACATTCCAATTTGAAATGTTGAGGCTTGGAATTCTTGACAGATCCCTAGCAAGCCAAAAACATTTGTCAAAAGAGAACCTGGCTAGAAAAGTATTTAAAGGTGTGATTATTTGTGAATTGAATTAAGTTCAGGCTTTGTTCTTTTAGCTTAGCTGATCATTTCCAATATCATGGTTATCACAATCATCAGATCTGATCTGAACCCCCATAACTTTTGGTTATGAGCTAGCTAAAGAGCTTTATTTATTGAAGGAATATTCCCAACTTAGCTGCCTTAAAAGATAGAATTTCACAATGTGTGACAATTCCACACATGTCAGTTGCATTATGCTGTCAAGTTTGTTGTATAGCAAATGCAGTTTTTTAGAGCAAGGAGATGGAGTTGGACACAAAAGTCATATTTTTCTGTTGAACTACAGATAATATTAGATGAACTTGGCCATCAGATACATCTTTGGTGTAATGCTAGTACAATGCTTATTGCAATGCTTTTAAAATTGATATTAAAATCTGATATAGGAAGAGATGCATTAGTGAAGCATTTGCTCAATGCATGCTTCCTCAATGCATTGCTCAAGTTGCTATTAAACCAATTTGTTATGAAGATGGAAAATTGAAACCAGTTAAACAATGCCAAATCACATTAATCATCAATCTGTTTTCTTAAGTACAGGTAAACATGCCTAGTACTGCTAGGCACAACTAGGCATTAGTGTACTCAATACAGTTTATATTACACATGATATTATACATTTCTCAAGGCATATTACAAAAGATTAGTACGAACATACTACAATAAGCTACAGTGCTGTAGGAATATACATTATACATATGCCAATTTTTTTTTTCATGATGACTCGGGATATCTTTTATATTGATGTTAAGACCATTTACAAAAATATACAATATTTTTGAGTTTTTTCTTTATCCATTAACACAACCACAGAAGTAGAAGTTAAATTGGCTTGAAGAAAAACGTCATTAAAAAGACTGCAAATTTTTATCTATTATTTGTCTTTTTAATGAAGTTTTTCTTCAAGCCAATTTAACTTTTACTTCTGTGGTTGTGTTAATGGATAAAGAAAAGACTC